CTTCTGTATAGGAAAAGCATTGAGAGAATCAAAACAAGAGGAAGAATGCCTAAGAGCACAATGTAGTTAAAGGAATTAGAAATCCAAGATTATTTCCATCATGTTCGAATTTGTTTTCCCCAAGCATGACTACAGTATCTGCATTCCACATGGTATTTAGCATCTGATGTAAGCATTAGATGTACACATATTTGTTAAGTTTTCTTCACCCAATTCAAGAGCAGAAATAAAAAGGAAAATACAAAGTTTATCTAAGCATGCTTCCAGCATTATTATGCAGAACATGTTAAATTTCTACTTAAAGGAGATGAAAGAACCACCCCATGACACCAACCCAAACCTTTTCCATTTCTCCCTTAAGTTTCCACCTTTAAAAAGACTTCTTTGTGTTAAATTTATGAATGAGGTTAGGGCTTACAAAAGTCAAGGATTAATAACATTTGCTTGAGCCAAAAACAGTATGATAGGCACTGTGCACACTCCCCTCCACAGCTCCGCCAATCCATCTCAAGTCCAACCTGCAGTACACCCCTGCTGCTTTTCCAGTCCTAGGCCTCTCACAGGCAGAGACTGCCAATGGAGCTGAATGGTGCCAAACTGTCTGGTGGTTTTGCGATACAGCCAAATGGGGACTGTGATGAGATGAAACTCATTTCCACCATGAGCTGAGCAAAGATGTGAACTTAGGTGAAAGGATGGAGTACTATGCCATATAATGCTGAGTAGCCCTTATCAGCCACGTAAAGATATGGGAAATTAGAACAAACTGGGGGAAAAAACCCCAACCAGACAACAAGCTCTGCACAGAGAATTATGTGCCACAGAAAGGTTTGTTGAGTGAATGTCAAAAAGATCCATAAAATAGGCAAAGTAGTATTAATAGTTTATTTTCTGACTTGCAAAAGAGAAGGACTGTCAGAACGGAATGCAAGACAACACAAAGAATCTTTGGCCTAGATTTTTTCAGGGAATTAAAGAAGGTAAGGTATATGTATTAAAACAAGTGGAGCCTAAATGGTTTTAAATTTACCACGTTAGCTCCTGCAATGCCAATTTAAACTATCACTTTCTATTAAAAAAAAAAAAGGTTAAATTGGGTGGTATTCAGTTCTGATTTAGAAACTCAATAGAAACCTAACGTTTAAGTCACAGTTGTAGCAGCTGAAACAGTATTTCAGTTGTAGCCACCCTGACCCAAATAAAAAAGGAAAAAGGAAACCCTTTCCTTTAAAACTATTAGTGTAGACGTGGCTTTAGGGATTGCATCAGCTGCTAGGGCTACAACTGGAGTTTGGTTTTTTTAAAGATGTATATTAGCATTACGATGGAGAAAATATAGAATTCTGTTGTGTTTAACAAGTTTAATCTATGTACAGAAGCACTGATCTTGAAAGAAAGCTAAATCAAACAGTTAAAACAAGTTCTCTACTAATTTTTAATTATCCCAGTAGACTACTTTACAGAGAAAAAACCCCAGAACCTCAAAGCAACGTATAAAACTTTTAATTTGTAAAGCAAAATTTGCATGCCCCAGGTACATGCATTTAATTTACAAACATATTCAAAATTCAGGTGTCATTACTCTCATTACATCACACTGAGGCTTCAAATCCACATATTTTTCCCATTTTTATCTAAGTATGCTTTTTACCATATGCATTTTACTTAGTATTTTTGCAGGACCTTCTTCTTTAATAGTAAAATTCACTATCTACATTCTTCTATTTTTGCTCAGGAAGCAAACAAATATGAGACTCATCGCAGTTTCCAAAGTGACGGGGGATGAGTGAGACAAAATGCTGCAAACACTTTACCTGTCCAGGGCATATCCAGTGATCATTCTCTATACAGACCCTGCACATTATAAAAATGATTAAAGTAAATGTCTTAAAAAATGTGTGACTTTTTACTGAGATCTATAGACAACAGTTAAAAACAGCTTTATAAAATGTAGTCCTGTAATGTCCTACTGCTTTTACCTATAATCCTCTCTAGTGTTTGCTGACATCAATGCTAGTGAAGCCAAAGGACGTATTTCAGAATTCTTCTCGATTATATGTTGGACTGGTTTTCCAAAATAACTTTCAAATATACTGAGTCTTGAATCAAAATATGTCTGAATCTCTGATGCTGTACAAATCAAAAATATGCATGTTTCAGTGCCGGGGATAAAATCTAAATAAAACATAAATATAAACCCCATCGATCCTCCACAAAGAAAAAAAGAATTCAATGTTTTCTTGAAAAATGTGAATTCCACTGCTTTTCAGAACTCTGTTTAACAGAGGTGAAGAATGTGTAAGATCATATCTATAGATCTAGCAGCAGAATAATATCCATCAGAAATGTGAAGAGGTATTCCTGACCTGCAGTTTATCCTGCCAAAGCCCCAAGCTTTGCGGTTATATCATCAAACCTGCTTTTACTGGCAAAACTGACAGAGAACGTTCAATGTGTATGTGCAAAGTTATGCTGGGAAAGACAAGAGTTTATAGAGCATGAAGTACATCCACATTAACAGGATTTTGCCAGAGAAGCACATTAGCCAAGCAATCCTAATCCGGTCTTGCCAAACGTCAAGCTTTTCTTTGAAGACCCTGCAGCCAAGTTTTGCACTTTGCCCCTATAACCTGACAGCACACTGGCAATTTATAGAGACCCACAGAGGCTCTTTCACATCAGCTTAACTTTTGGCCAGCACATCCCTCTTTCTCTACATGATCAAAGAACTTGGATCAGAATCTTCTTCAGCATATCTGCATGCCCACAACCGTCGGGCTATAGGTCTCATTATCAAGGATTCTGAATTCCCCCATTGGTGGCAGAAACATTTTGAATTCTTATCAAAACATATAAATATGTACACACACATAAAATCACCACATATATTCAAGCTCCTAATGCAGATATAATTATTTTAATGTCTGCCATTCAGGCTTGGATATTCTAGGCCTTGCTTTTATTTTCTCTGAGAGAATGGAGAGCATCTATTCCAAAACCATTTCAAAAAGCATAGTGTGATTTGTTCTTGAACACTAAAACAACTGTAAAGGCTCCTGTTATTTCTGTTTTCAAACAGTAACGTATCATCACAAACTTCACTTCAGCATTGCTGCAAACAGTGGCAAACATTACTGTACTTTAAGAGCACCTGCTTTATTTCACTGTGTCACATAATGCTGCCTATCAGCAATAGAAGGCTGTGCACAAGTGTACCTCATATTGCCAGTCACAGTGTGTTTTATATTTGTTGAACATACACCTTTTTATAGTTTTGCTAAAAGACGCTTCTGAATCAACTCACATGTGACTTCCATCTGCTGTAGACAGGAACAAGAGTAACCTCAACTCAAAAAAGAAAAAGAGAGTGAAATAAACTGTTTATTCACATCTTTTAATTACAACAGTGCCTTTCTTCCCATCTGTTTACCAAAGTCCTGAAATCCAAAGTCTTCAGATAAAAACAAATTCCCTTGAGTCAGAAGATCTTGTTGGTTAATCACTTATACATAGTTTACATCCATAGTTACCCAAAGAAACCAGAAAAAATGAGAAAAGGATTGACCTCAGAAGTGCTGTGGGACGGAAAAGCAAAGCAGTGGCCTAACAGATGTGATCTGAGGTGCCCCAGCTGCATGTAACATGCAAATAAAAATCATTTCACAGAAAAGCAAAATCTCCTACATTTCTCCAGTACCTGCTGGTTTGATAGGGAAGGTATGGAGCCCATCAGCATGTGTGATGTGCCACTTATAACTCTGGCATCACTTTAGCCTGCCATCAATGAAGTAATGGGCACATTATTTACAGAAAATCGTGTTCACTTCCTACCAAACCAAAACACACTGCTTCAAAGACTTCCACTCACGGTCTTGATTTTTCTGTAACACAGTGAGTACATTCACATTGCAATCTCTCAATTGCTTTTTCCTGCCTAAGTGGACCATAAAAAATACATGGTCAAGGAAAGGGGGGTTTTTTCACGTATTAGCGAGTGCCAGACAAAATCTGCTATTATACTTGTTTATACCCTCCAAGAATTTTTTTTCTAACTTTCAAACCTCTGTACCTCGAAAGTCTGTGTAGACTGTCACAATTTCCTTTTCCGTTCAGCATTCATCCACACTTATGCACAAATTCAGAAAGAAACTCAAGCCCTATTACCCTTTAAGGAAACATTTTCCTAACTTAAGAGTCACAGACACCTTAAAAATGAATTTATATTATGAAAAATTAAGCAACTCTGAAATTTAATATTATACATTTAATATATGTTAATATATAATATTATAATTATGTATTATATATTTAATATTATCTTTGGATGGCTAAATATGGAGGTAGGTGCCCAATTTTTAGCCTTTAGGTTTGACCTCATAAACTTTCAAATTCCTGTAGGCAAATTTTTTTATCTGTATTTCCAGTCTACCACCGAACACACAGTGTCATTTAACAACGAGATTCTTGCTTAAAGCAAATGTTGAACCCAATTCTCTTTGAAATTGTTGGATGAGGATTCAAATGAGAAGCAATGTGTGTTTTCAAATTCCGAGTCCTTTCCCCAGCTGCTGAAGATCTGTCAAATCCTACTAATCAAATAGACCGGTCAACCTGGCATTAAATACAACAGAATATTTTAAGGGTTAATATATGGTAGTTAACACAGGAGGATTGGGATTCAGAACATAGCTCTACAATGGCACTACAACACACATCGGAACATCATTGTCTATATCAAAGAGATGGAAAGATACTATGAGGACAACACCTGAGTTTCAACTAGAGGCTGTGACTTTTGTAAAGTCTTATCCATTTAGAGACTTAACCACTAAAATCGCAGTTGCTGGACAACAATGCACTGTTGAGCTCCAGTTTTGCCAACAAACATACGAGAGAGAAGAAAGAAGTGTTACAATAGTCTGTACCAATATTCAGAAACGTATTTTACAGTAGAGGAACAGCGTAATTTAATCCTACAGTAATAATATATTAAACGATACCTGGCAGGAGCCGTTGGGTAAATTACTTTTATATGTTGGAAAGCCATGTCTTGATTCAAAATTTGTTTTATCCATGCTCTTGCTCCTTGGCCAGTATCACCTGTATCACACAGATGGTGACAAGAAGAATTATTCTGTGCATTTCGCAAGAAAATTATACAATGTAAAACACATTTATTCCAGATTGACCTAATTTCAAATCACAAAGTCAATACATCAAAATGCTAAAAAAGAACTTTCTAGAATCTTAGTCCCCTTTCCAATGAAAATGGATTCAAAATTTCCTAAAAAAGACTACTTGAGAGGTACCACAGCATAAGTTTAATAAATACTTCCCTAAATCCTATGGCTTAAGTATCTCCCAGGTAGACACAAGATCCTACCTGTTACTTGCCTTGTTTGCTGATAAGTGATAAACAAAAAATCTTGATGAACATTTTTAAAAAGTGAAATAAAATACCTGCTCCTCCCCTTACAAAAGATTACTTATACTAGAGAATTTAATATTAACCCACTTTAAAACCTACTCAAGAGTAGTGAAAAGGATCTCCACACTTAATTATGCTAATATTGCACATGGACTTTAAGGGAAAAACATGTTTCGTAAAAGCACTCAAGAGATGAGTTCAGGTTAAAGTATCTAGCAGGCTCTTAAAGAAACTATAATCCCGTGGTTCTGTTTGAAAACTACTTAAGATCTGACTCTCAGCATGTTTTTTTCCTAATCTTAGCTACCCAATCTATGGCCAAAACTTCTGCAGACTGAAGTGCTATGAACAGATAAGCAGGATGAACTCTTCTGCAGACAGCACATGCTCCTTTCAAACAAGTATACATGTACAGACCAGACAGTTTCTCAAGCTTGTCTTTGCATCGCTGTTATCTTCCACTATAACTCCACTGCCACCCCTCTGACAAGCACACACACACGAGTCTCCAGTGTTAAACAATACATCAAGCTTGAGGAAACCAGTCCGTCAAGGAATATAGTTTATAGCAGGCAATACTTTCAACCTAAAAAATGGGGTGGGGGTTTTCAGCAAACTGGAATTTCACTACTGCCACTCATGCCACAGGCCTTCAGTCTTGTCTGAAGCTGAGGTTCCCACATATTATCCACTCAAACTGCTAATCTGAGTTAACAGTACTTTCTACTACTTTATCTCAAGGTGCCTGGTTTGACTTGAGAACTCACCCTATTCTTTTCAAAAACATTATTTTTCTCAAACCATGAGGAAAAAACACCACTGCCTTTAAGCCAGGTTTACTGCCACCTTACATGGGCTCATCTGAACAGTGTTGCATAAATATACCAGTTCATTGTTAAAATGTTACAAAGTCGTCAATGGAGAAAATTTGCTCTTTATCACTCAAACAAAATTCAGTGATGCTTATTTACACACACAATTAATGCATCTTCAGAATTAAAACAGAAGGCACGAAGGATTCAAATCCAGCATTTTTTTTTCCTGTTCAACTGGCATAACTAGAACTGTTCTCTGCTGTCCTAAATGGTCCATGTGACAAATAAACAATAGGGTTGCAAAGCTAATTCCGTTACAAAAGTTATTCTGTGGGAAGTCAAACAGTGAAATCAAAGTTACATCCTTCATGCTTCAGGACACACTCCCACAAGCACTTTGCTTATGCAAGTAGTATGGTTTAAGTCCAAACACACCTCTGTTTCTTCACAGACACTCTTGATGTACAAAGGTTTCCTCATGGTTCTTGCCACCTCACAAGCAACATATCTTTGGGATATGTTTTGAATAAACTTTTTTTTTCCCCCCTATACACTCCTCTTTTTGTAGTTAGAAAGCCAAGGTCTAGGCTCTGCAAATACTTGCACAGGACCAACCCTCAGGTAAGTCAACCTAAGCAAGTATCTGAATGCTTACAGGATCAGGACTTCATTAGGTCTTTACAAACGCCCTAATGATGTAGAATATAGCATTTTACTATTTATTCACACTTCTTAAACTTTGCAAAGATCTCCAGAAACATTTAAAGTTAAGGAAGCTAGTTTGTCCATTAAAGTTCACAAAAAGCTCAGTAATAGAAAATTTAACTTCTGTTAAATTTTCTGTGTGTGAGGAGTCATCATGGCCCAAATGCTCCCCAAATGCAGTAAGCACTTGCATGCACAGAAAATGAATTTTGATTTGCTAAGAATAGAATTTGCATGGGAGGGAGAAAGAGAGAAGATTGTGACATCAAACAAAAGCCAACAACCTTCTGAAAGGTTTGTCTTTCAAGCTATTCTTACATTTTAGCGCCATATATTTTTCTGAACACTACAAAAAGAAGCAAACAATGGATGATTCTGCTTTGACTGATGGCAACAGTATTATCTTTTTCCCCTCCTCAAGTAAAATATGAATTATTTTCCTTTCACATATAGCTTGAACATCCAAATTTTCTTTCTCCGCAAAGTTTAACAAAATGTAACATTTAGGCTGGATATTAGGAAAAATTTCATCACCAAAAGGGCTTTAAAGCACTGAAACAGGCTGCCCAGGGAAGTAATTGAATCACCATCCCTGAAGGTACTTAAAAGATGTGTAGATGTGGCAATTAAGGACATGGTTTAGTGGTGGACTTGGCAGCATTTGATCAATGGTTGGAACTGATCATCTTAAAGGTCTTTCCCAGCCCATGATTTTGTGCCTGCTACAACATACAAATTTGCAATCCTAAGCCTAAAAAATTATTACGTATTTGTTACATTCATTTGCCTTCCCTGCAAAGCTATCAAATGGATCCTCTACCTAAATTGGATGTACAGTACCGGGAATTTTCTAACACTTTTCTATATTATTCTGGACTTATTATAATTTGTCTAGAGTAAGCATTATGAACAAAATGGATTCATGCCACTTGACTGCCACTTTCCACCACAAGTGCTGTACAGAAGGTTTACAATTCAGGTTTACAGGCCAGCCCACAGCAACAGCACTTCTGTTTTAAATTCTATTCTGCGGAACTGCTAAAAACCAAATAAAAGCACCCTTGTACTTCCCCATTGCAAACATGATGAACAAAATCATATAAAAAAAATGAAAAATTGTAGAGTACTTTAACCACATGTGGAATCAACCTCTAACCATAATCTTCCCTTAGTCCTCCAACATTAGAGAAAATTATTTCCTCAAGCATTAAAGCATTAGTGTTAACAAGGGGGCTGAACACATCTTATAAACTCTTTCACTTTCATTCTTTTACTCACAGAATTTTAAAAAAGCAAAATTAAACTAGGTTATAAAAACAAAACTAATTTAATAAGCACATACAGCTTTGTTAAACTAAACAGAAGCATCAGCAAAAAGCGAAACTAAGAGAAAGACACTGAAAGATTTGAACACATTGCCATATGCACATGGGCAGCTCAACAGAATGGATTCCCAAGGCCTTGATCTAATAAAGATCTATGATTACTGTGTTTGGTTTTTTTAAAAAACTCATGTATTGCTATTTAGCAGGTTAGAAATAACTTTTAAGGAAAAAAACCAACAAAACGCACACTCCCCTCCTGCCCTCAGACTGGTCATTGATGCAGGTAACTCTCCCCTCTCTAAGTGGTGGCCACATAGCCAGTCTGGATATGGCCAGGACCCTTCTAACAGAGAGAAGTCAGTCTATCAACACGGGCTTTTAACAGGTGACAACAATACTCTCAGCCCGACCCAAAACCACCAAGAGCCACCTTAACTGTGAAAATCATCTTTTGCCAGTGGCTACCCTCTGAGTGGGGCAATTAAGAGAGCAACAGGACTCGGGGACACAGCGTGGGGCTGAATTGGGGTAGGTTTAGGTTGGATATCAGGAAAAGGTTTTTCACCCAGAGGGTGGTTGGGCACTGGAACAGGCTCCCCAGGGAAGTGGGCACAGCACCAAGCCTGACTTCAGGAATGCTCTGACTGGACAATGCTCTCAAGTACATGGTATGATTCTTGGGGTATCCTGTGCAGGAGTTGGACTCTATGATGCTGATGAGCACCCCCCAGACCCGGCACGTTCTGTGACTACATGATCTAGAACGCGTGTGTTCTCATGGCACAGGAGGCCAGGGCGGTGTGGGCCGGCGCCGTCCCTACGGCACAGCCCTCCGGGCACAGACACACCGCTCTGTGCCCACAGCCGCCTCCTCCTTCCCGGCCAGCGCCGCAGGGACAGCGACACCTGACACCCCTCCCCCGAGCCTGGCGGCCACCCCGTCCCGCCGCCCCCTTCCCGCAGCCCCGAGAGGGACACCCCAGCCCCGCTCCCGGGAGCGCCCCGCCGGGCAGCACCCTGCGCCCTGCCCCAGCCGCGGGGCAAGGAAGAGGGGAAAGCAGCCACCTGAGCCGTGCAGGAAGATGAGGGAGGCGGTGTGCCTGCCCGCGGGGGACACCACGCTCCTCTGCAGCGCGGCGGGAGCCGCCATCCCAGCGCTCTCCTCCCCGCTCCTCCTCCGGGCCGGCCCTGCCGGTTCCGGGCCTCCCACCGCCCTGTCTCCGCCCTTCTCCTCAGGAGCCAGCGGCCCTTCTGGCAGCGAACCAGGACAGGTTTCGCTTTTAATGCCGTGCTCCGTTATTTATAGTAAACACCGAATATTTAGCAGTGCCTTGTGGCAGACAAGCTGGGGCTCCAGCAGTAAAGAGGGGGCCGCCCCTTCCCTGTTGTCAGACGTGCTGGGGAGGTGTCGGGTGTAGGTTCTGCAGCCTCACCAGGGTTGCGCCGACAAGGGCAAAGGCCTGGCCGGCAGGAGGGCGGAGGGGAGGCAGGTGGCACGGGGCTCTGCGGTCTCCTTGGAGGCACTTCAGAAAGTGAGGGGTTTACAAGGACCGCTATGAAAAAAAGTCCGGTAGACTTTCGAAAGCTTGTCTGACCTTGTCTAATCCATGTTTTAGCACAACTATTCTGATGCTCTTGCTAGTTTCTACTGAGCTGGTGTAAGAGGATAAGGAGCAGGAGCTTACTTTTGCACTTTTACGTAACTCATACAGGCTCAAAATCACAATTTTTATTTTTTTTCCCTGGTGCTGTGCAGATTAACCACCTGCCTTAGTACTTTGAGGTCTGCGGCAGTGGAACAAGGATGACCAGTCATAAACTCCACTATTGCCATTTCACTAGCCAGGTGCAGTGCGACCCAGGGGTGAGCAGCAAGTTTACAGATTAGTTTTGCAGTTCATCACAAAGTATTTTGGCAAGCCGTAGAGCCGCACCTGTTAGTTCTTAAAAATGTAATGAAACCTTAGCCTCTTGAGGTAGCATGTTATTACCTTCAGAATGGCCTGTGGGTTAAGTAGATGAAACATCAGTGTGTGTGCAGTATGAGGAGCACGCTGTGCTTGTATTTCTTTTCAAATTACTGTCCTGACTACTATTTTCCTATATATTTAGGCCATGAAATCCTAGGGCACTGGTTAAACATAGACTGACAAATGGCATGTTATGATGCTCCTTTAGAATGTATGCAGCTGTGTTTTTAATATATCTAAAAGCATTCTGCAGTGGGACCAAGAAGTAAAGAGAAGGAAAAATAGTCTGATAGTTGAGGAAATGAACAAATTGCATGGTGGAAAGGGATGAAAGATATATCTAAAATTTTCTACAGTGTTAGTTTCCCAATTAATGAACACAAAATTTCAGCAAAGTAGTGCTACCATGAACAAGTTACTATTGCCAGTGCTTAGCAGCTGAGACACACCTTACTTTGACTTGCAGTATACAAAAATAATTGTGATATTTGAGATTTTAAGGCTATATTTTTATTTTTAATTAGCTTAGAAGGAAAGTTTAGTTATTATTGTTGGACATATTCACTCCCTTAATTATGCTTATTTATAATATTTTATCTTGCCATCTTTCATGGCATCGTAATTTTTGAGGGCTGTTATATATGAAGAGTTACTGAACAAAGGTACCTCAGTGATGTGTGGCTTTGGACAAACTCTTCTGCACAGTTATGGCAACAAACCATGATCAAGCCTTTTTAAAGCTTGTGGATTATCATTCCCTGCCTCTGAGTTACAAGATTGGAGGTACAAGATTTCTTTGTGCCAACACATAAAGCTTGATGCCAAAGGATAAAAAATCACACCATGCAAAAGTAGTACTCAAGGTCTGGAGGATTTTGTGTGTTGGGTTTTTGAAAAGAGAAACAGTCAAGGCATAAGATTTATTCTTTTTTTCTTTTTTTTTTTTTTTTTTCTGTCAGAAAACAAAGGGCTAACTTTGTCTTTCCCTGAGTGGAGAGGACTCTGGGGCTGGCTTCGGGAGAAACACTAAAATTTCAAAAAAAACTAAAGAAACAAAATAGACAACTACATAGAAACTTGTGAGAGAATAGGAGCTCTCAAAAAACATAAACAGAAAAGAGCTGTAATACTATTCGGATGACAATAAATTCTCTTGTTATTTATACCCAAGGAAAATATTTTCTTGGGACGTTTTTGAAGTATATTAATTATATTGAATGTTAATGACATTAAATGACATTTAATGATTAATGAATTTTAATTACATTTTAAAAAAACACCAAAAACCAACAAAACAAACAGAAAAACAACCCCATGGCAAAAACCCCTTAGTACTATGATAGGTCTGAATCAAGTGCTCAGAAATGGCCAGTAGATCATTCTATTGTTTCTAGGAGTTTTCTGTTGTTAGAGGAATAAGAGTCCCCTTCCCTGCCAGTTTTGCCTTCTACCTAAAGAAGTAGGGGAAGGAGGAAACATGCTTGGAGTAAGAACTAGAAAAACGTTATAACCGTTTTCCTGGGCCAAATCTGTGAAACCTATGAAGCAAAGAGATGTAATCCATGAAAACCATGGCTGCTGCTAAAACCTAGCCTTATTAACTGAAAGGACTGTTCTGAATGAATTGCCAGTATGTTAATAACTGTAGAAAATTATAGGCAATATGGAAATACCTTGCAAATTTTGTTAAACTAACATATGCTTAAGTTCTCATGCTTATGGTGTTTTACAAGTCTTTCACTGCTGACATGTAACATCTTCAAAAGGAATTTATTAGATTTCACGACGTTAATAAAATGTGATTCCACACCCTTAAAAACATATTCTGTTGTAATTGCTTCTCTTTTTATTTTTTTTTCCTGGGCTTAATGAAATAAATGACTTAAATTGACTTAAATGTGAAATAAATATTGAAATGTAAATAAGTGGCGATATTTAAGTTTTCTAAAGAAAGTAAAGGTTAAGTGTGTGCTGTGTTTTGTTCCTTGGGATAGGCCCTTGCTCAAAGTGCTTGCTGACTGGGTTCTGTTCTTTCACACTTCCTCTATTCAGAAAAAAAACCTAAGAAGACTTTAATTTACTTGCAACCATTTTGATACTTTTTCCCATTTAAAATGGCTTTGCACTTAAAAATTGACTCTAGCTGAAAGCAGTATGTTGCAAAGTGATTTTATGTTCAGCATGTGTACATATATAACATCCAGAAATGCTGCTACAACTGTATATGCAGAACTAAGGCTCTTGCACCCCATACTGAAAAATAGTTTGTAGGTATTGTACACTTACTGTTCTTTTTTATAGTAGGTGAGTTAATCCACAGGTGCTTCATTGATGATTACAAAGAAGTATATCTGATTTCTAATTGATTATATTATTATATATTTAGGTGATTTTGACAGAAGTAGGGATTTTGATATGGATGTGGGGATAAAAATACTGAGTATTTGAAACTTTCCACACCCCCCTTTATTTCTTTCTCAGCATGATGACGTTATCATCACCATGTTAGAAGATCACATAATTGAGTGAAGCTATCCCATACTTGTTTTCTTCATTATTACGGCTTTAAAATTAAGTCTTGAATTTCTTTGACTCTTTTGTAGTTTTCTTCTCTCTCCTACCTTTCTCCTGGTGTTTTACAGGCTCAAGGGTCTGTTCCCTACTTTTAAGACCATCATGCCAGTTCCTGTGGTCTGATAAAAATTAAAAACTATTCTCTAATTTTCAGGTGGTTTCACTCATTGGAACTCAGTGGCAGTGCTTTGACATAGAATTTACTTGACAGGGGGTTATTTTAGGTCCCCCCTTTCAGAGTACATCTTGGCATAGTTTATTGTAAAAAGTTCTTGTAAAGAGCTCTGCACAACTGCCACAGGAGAGGTAGGAAGTGCCACATTCAGGCACAGAACCCAGTTGTCCATTTATCATGCTAAACTACTCCTATCCTTACCAAGCCAACCAAAAATGTGTTTCCATTCATACTTTTTAATTTAACAAAAAAATTGAGTCTTTAGCAAATGATCAATGTTCAAAATATGTAGCTTTGAAAAGTTGTTTTCCTATCCAGCAAGAAGTATGTTTTGGTACTGTTTTGTCTTCTTCCTTATGAGAAAAAAAAAAAAACAAAACCCTGCCTAGGCTGTATGCAGAATATTGTGCATCTCAGCTATGATTTACTGTGCAGTTGGGTAAGGGAAATCAGTCCACCAGAGAAAAGCAAGTTGCGTTCTGCATCTGAATACTGTCTGGCACTATGGGATCTTGACCCAATGTTTCTAGTTACCAGAACAAGGTAAACAAGTAATAAATAAACAGATCATATTCTTTTTGGCCCAAGTGAAAATCATTATTTAGGGTCTTGTGAGATAATTTTGCTAGGAGGAGCCAGATATTTACTTCATGCCATACAATTTGTTTAAAGAAGGCTCTGTCCCAGGGACACAGGAGGCAGTTCCCTTCTTCAGAAATCAGAGCCTGCACCTAGCCAACACCCTGCCAAAACAAATCCAGGCTTGGCTACGTTACTTGTGCATGTGTGTTTCTTCTGCTTGTTCTTTGCAGCAGGTTTGCTATTTCTGAGTCATTTGGATGTCCACTCAGCCGCTGCATCTGCAGGCATCCCCAGGCAAGCTCCTTGGCTTGTCTTGTTCAGCTTATAGCCTGCTGAAGCCTGGAGGGATATTCCTCAACCAGGATTCCCCAAGGAATCTCACAGACATGCTTGGGGCTTACCAAAATCATATTAACAATACTCTCAGCAAATAGAGAAGCTGCTTTCTATTATTATGTGGACAAGTGGTGTCTGCCTTTTATTTATTGTTGGTGATTAGAGCTACAGCTGCTAACTGGTGTGACTGGTTTTACATGGGTTTGACAGTTGCTAGCAGAGCTGCTTTATGTACCAGTCAATATTTCAAAAATTCTTTTCCTGGGTAGTGAACTCACCTGGGTGTGGGAGATTGAGTTCAGGACTTTTGCAGAAGATTAAAATGCTGTGGAAGTGTTTGGCTCCAGTGGAGGTTTGTGGGAATATGTTGGTACCGGGACCACAATATTATTAGAGTGTTCAGTAAAATTTTTGGACTGGGAATGAAAGATCTCTCATCGATTTAATATGTTTATCTGGTAAGTTTGTTACACCTCATGATTTTGTTGTGTTTTTTGGTATTTCTCTCGAGGACCAGTGTTCTTGCATATATGTTATTGAATACAAATCTCAGGTTCTTGTTGCTTTAAGAGGACATAAGCACTATGAATGGAGAAAAAAGTCTATGAAAACAGAAACCTTAAAATCCAGACATGCATGAAAAAAACTCCCAAGATT